GAGGCAGCAAGGAAAAGCAGGCTGAAAAAAAAGGTCAGCCCCTACAAATCATTTTTTCTTCTTCTTTTAAACAAGGTTTAATGCACTTTTTTTTGTTTCAATCACAGGCTTATGTTCAGCAATTAGAATCAAGTAGGATCAGGCTTACCCAACTGGAACAAGAACTTCAAAGGGCCAGAACTCAGGTGATCATTCTCCTTGATCTCTTTTCTCAAAAGAAAATACACCCATGATTATTCTTTTTTTTACAACATTCGTCAGTATATACGTATGAGATCTTCTGTTTTTACTGTTTAGGGCATGTTTCTTGGTGGTGGTAATATCATAGGAGGAGAGCAAGGGCTTCCTGTTGGTATTAACAACATAAGCTCAGGTTTTTACTTCCTCATATACATTTTTTTTTTCAATGACATTCAACGGATAGGCACGGGATACGCATAATTAAAGAAAATGGATTTTTCTTTTATGTTGCAGACGCTGCAGTATTTGACATGGAATACGCAAGATGGCTAGAAGAGCACCATCGAATGATGTACGAGCTTCGAGCCGCAGTTCAAGAGCATCTACCGGAGAACGAGCTGCGGATGTTCGTGGACAACTGTTTAGCCCATTTTGACGAGATGGTGAACCTAAAAGGGATGGTGGCGAAAACCGATGTGTTTCACCTGGTGTCCGGCATGTGGAAGACTCCAGCCGAACGATGCTTCATGTGGATTGGTGGATTTCGGCCTTCTGACCTTATCAAGGTATTCTTTTAACCCTAAAATGTATATGACGGTAGCTAAGCCACTGTATATGACAGTGGGGACTCATATTCTATGTGGATAATCAAAAACTAAAAAAAAAAAGGCATAACATTGAATGACGAAAGGGTGATGAGGAGGTCTTTCTCAAAAAAGAGTAGGCTAGTTGTTTTTGTGATAAAGCTATGTCTGTTAACTACAATTTGTGGTCAAGTAGAGAAAATAGAGAGCTGCACGCTTCTCTTCTCAGCTCTCCACTCTGCTTTGTCTTCGTCTTCACGGAAATCAAGCATCTTGTTCTCACTTTCATCTCCTATTTTGTTTCTTGTTCATAAATATCCAAGCAACATGGCAGAAAAGCACTTCACTTTCAGTTCACAAACAAAGCAAAAACCAAGCAACATAATGTTTGTGGGTGCCTTTCTTTTTGTTTAAGGTCATTGTGAACCAGATTGAGCCATTGACGGAGCAGCAGATAATGGGGATATGTGGGTTGCAGCAGTCGACGCATGAAGCTGAAGAGGCTCTATCGCAAGGCTTAGAAGCTTTGAATCATTCACTTTCTGATGTCATAACATCTGATTCACTCAGCTGCCCTCCTAATATGACTAATTACATGGGCCAAATGGCCATCGCCATGAGCAAGCTGTCCACCCTCGAAGGTTTCGTTAGACAGGTATGCCAACTTCAACATCACCGTAATTATTTTTTAATTATTCCCCTACTTTTTCTTTTTCTTTGTAATGGTTTGGGCGATTAAAAAGTGGTATTATCCGTTTATAATTTTTATTATATATTGATAATATATACAAACCTTACGAACATAGTTATTTTAACCCGAGATATCCGAACAGAAGATATAAGACCCATGTATAGTTAATATGGATGGAAGCTTAAGAATATTTGCGTTTTCAGTAGTGTCACATGCTAATGGGCCCTCCATTTAATAATGCACATACATCTACATACAAAGTATGCTTTAAGTCCCATATGTTTGTGATGTCATGGTCGTAACCGTTGAAAAAGAAAAAAACACTTCTTCTTTACTTTAGTATTTACTCCTAATAATTTCAAAATTTTGCTTAAAAAAAAACTTATAGGCAGATAATCTGAGGCACCAATCAATCCATCGGCTGCATCAGATCCTGACCACCCGTCAAGCTGCAAGGTGTTTGCTGGGCATTGCCGAGTACTTCCATCGCCTAAGAGCTCTCAGCTCCCTCTGGTTGACTCGACCTCGACAGGAACAATAGAAACCCTAGCTTAAGTCTCACTCTTTGATTATTTATGTCTTCCTTTATGTTTTTCCCTAAGATTTCTACATATAGATGAAATAGATAGACTAAGAATAGATAATATAGATTACAAATTTGTAACTATAGTTCAAGTTTCTCTCGTAAAACAAGAAACTTATAAAACAAGAAATGCAATGATCCGCGGCTCTTTCTGACTAATCACAAATACAAAGATTGTCTGGTTAAGAAAAAGAAGAGGGCATGGAGAATAGAAACGAAGGTTTGGTCCTTTTTCTACTTGTTTTGGATAGTTCTTCATGAAATGACAAATTATTTGGTTTTGCCAAGAAAAAGGGTGTCCAGAGTTGAATTTTATATGTGTCATTTATCATTAGCATAGAATATGAGATGTAGTTGTTGAGATTTAGGTTTTGAATTTAGTTTATTTATTTTTGTAATTTTTAATGTAAATATAAACAATTAATTTTATTAAAGAGGAAATATCTAAAATTATATGAGATTTATAACATAATCATAAACTAAACGCATAATTATAATTCCTTCTTATAACTATTGAGACATAAAACTAATCACTTGAATACAAAGATATATAAGGAAAATATTAAAAATCTATCCAAAAAATTCGAACAAAATATAGATACGAACAAGTCTGACTGCATTGGTAAATGAATCACAAAAGGAGATCAAACTCAGAGTTAGGCGTCGTGAAAAAATTATTTATGAACACAAATCACATATCCAAGTTCAATATAAGGGTTCAAAGCAAGAAATATCAATATGATAACAATTAAGAGACATCTTAATTCGTGGAAGTGATGTCAAATCCACACATAATAAAATTAACCTAGAACTCTCATACTCGTGTAGGGTACGAAAATGTACCAAAAGACAAAAGAAAACGTGTCATAAAGGTAGAGGAAAGCATATCATAAAAACATAGTTATTTAAAACTAAAAAAATAAAGTAAAAACAAAGACATGAATATAAAAAATAAAGAAAAACAAGAAATACAGACGGTATACAATAACTACTAAAACTAGTGTCGCCACCAACTAAACTATGACGAGGGAAAAGAGTGAGCGGCTTGGACAAAAAAATATTTATATGTGTATGTTGAAATTTTAATCTTAACTCAAACCGTATAAATATATTATGATTATATTATATTGACTTTAAACAATCAAATTAGAGAACATAAATTAAATTTGAAATTTATACATATATATATTAATATAAGAATTTGATTTAATAAATTTAGTAGTTATTATTTCATCAAAATTGAAACTTTAAAATTTGAAAATATAAAGATTAAAAGTTACTAAATTTAAGTATAGAAAGTAGGTGTATAACTTACCATGTGTACAATGACTTATATAAGAATTTTATCTAAGATTTAAGTTTTAATTTATCGGATTTTAATTGTTTTAAAGTCGTTATACAAATAAACTTGATTGGTTTTTAAATTTTTTCTGTATAAGAAATTGTTAGATATAATGTCAAATTAAGATTCCACAGTGAAAGAGTAACATGTGGCCAAGCTATAAGTTAAATTAAATATTGAAAAGAAAATAGAATCCAAAATATTGATGTTCAGATCTCAATCTAACTAAGTGACAATAATTAAAGATCATTACATCAATAAACTAACTAAATTTATATTTGTTTTGAAAAAAAAAACTGGTGTCTTTTGGGATTTATTTAATAATTTAAAGGGTATTTTCTAAAAGATATTTATCAATGGTGATTCTTTAATCCTCCCTACCTCGTTAATTAAATTGGAATTGTTAGTACGTATTATGTGTTGGTCCAAATTAACAAAAGAACAAATGATGATTGTGGAGAACAAGAAATAATTGGTCCTTACTTTCTCCGGTGGCCAAGTTCACAAGTCAAAAGGTAAACCGTCCATGCATTTTGCCCTTGACAACTTTAAAACATAGACCTAGCTAGAAAATTTAATTTACAATATTAGATTTAGAAATTATCAAATAATTTTTTGAAATGTGAGATTAATTTATTTTTAAAGTGTGTTAAAATAATTTAAAAGTGATGTCATTTCTTTTTTTTATATTATATGTATAATTTATATAGAGAAAATTTTTAAAAAAAATTAGGATAGTAATTGACACCCCTTATAATACACCGATTCCATCAGTACTTTGAAATGATTTTATCATATTAGCCTTGATAATTTTCCTTGTTAATTATAGTTCTGATAATCTAATTAATTGATTCTAAAATTTAAAATATACATATTTAAAATTAAATATAATATTTTTATTATCAGTTTCCTTTTAGGAGTAATGTTTATGGTTATCTATAATGTTATTTTCAAAGTAAAAAATTTAGATTTTCTCTTTTAAATAATATGTCTTATTATTGCATCTAGTATTTATTTATATTTACATATAAAATAAATTAGCTGGGCTTAAATTATATATATTTTATTTTAAATTAGTGATAATTTTTTATATAAACATGATTATAAAAATATATAAAAGTAAAATTTTAATTTTAATGTAGTTTTTAATAATAAAATGGATTTCAGCTGGGCTTGAAACCACTTCGTGTCAGACCAACCAATAGAAAAGTCTACTTGATAAACTGGGCCAAGGTTCATTCAAGGAATGGCTAGAGCTATAGTTCTTTAACGGTGAATTCAGTCGTAATCTTAAAATTTTTAGATTATCATATTTTAGATTTTTTATTAATAATCTATTTTCGTATCTTAAAATTTTATAAATTTTTACTCTTCTAAAATTTTAAAAATTGATCCCTTTATAAAAGATTAAGCTTGTTTGGGATTAATCTAGTTATTCTAAAAACGTGTATTTTTTTAATAAAAAGTTTATATAAGTGGACTCCAACTTATATACATTCAAAAAATACTGTTAAACCCTAAACTAACGAACCCCATATAACAAACAAGCCCAAAACCCAATCACACGACCCATAAAAACCCTAATGACAGACTCGATAGATTTGATAGAAGTGTATTTGGTAGACGCCACACGGATAGCAGCAGCAAAGCAGCGAAATGGCAGCGAAAAGGAAGACTCCCGTGAAGACCAGAAACCCAGATCTGGTACGTGGTGTGGGCAAGTATTCCAGGTCCAAGATGTACCATAAGCGTGGCCTCTGGGCAATCAAGGCAAAAAATGGCGGTGTTTTCCCCCGCCATGACCCCAAGCCTAAGTCCCCCGCTACCGCCGAGAAACCTCCTAAGTTTTACCCCGCTGAGGATGTCAAGAAGCCGCTTCTTAACAAGCGCAAGCCTAAACCCACCAAGCTCAGGTTATTCTTTTCCATTCATTCTTCGTTTATTAGTAGATTTCTCATGGAAATGTTCCTTAGTGTTGGTTTATTGCTTTTGTTTTTATTTGTTTAGAGCGAGCATTACACCAGGGACGGTGTTGATTTTGTTGGCTGGGAGGTTTATGGGGAAGAGAGTTGTTTTCTTGAAACAACTTACTTCTGGTCTCCTTTTGGTAACTGGTGAGTGTTTTTGTTCTTTCCTCTGGTTTCATTTCGTAGTAATTTTTTGTTTAAAGCATTTTTAACAACACATTTTACCTCTGTCTTTTGTGGAAATTATGAAATGAAATCAGTGACTGTAAATGTAAATGTAATTGTATAGGAGTTGCATATCATAGTTAAAAAATTAGGCATGGTTTATGTTATTCAAATACAAGTTGGATGTATGAAAATGGTTTTAGAACATTTGTTATAGGTTTCTCCAGTATTGTTTGCTAAATTTCAATGTGTAGTAGGGTCGCCTCTAGAAGCTCTAGATTGTATTTCAATTTATTGTGTTGCTTCTACATATTGATTATATGCTGTCATAACAAACCCGTTCCGGAGATCGTGTGTTGATATCTTGATCGAGGTTTATTTGATGCTTTTGCTTTTATTGTGTCTGTTTTCTGGATATGATATAGTATTCACATTTGCCTTTCTTGGCTTAGAGGGGGATTGGTTATCATTATTTGTTGTATGTTCAATGTATACTAGTTATTTTCGTTGTTTTGAAATTCTTTCCATTATTTGCGAGTGTTTTGCTCAAATTTGGGAGGTTCATCTAATGGTAGGACCATTCAAGATTAACGGTGTTCCTCTAAGGCGAGTGAACCAGTCCTATGTCATTGCTACTTCTACCAAGGTTGACATCTCAGGAGTGAACGTTGAAAAGTTTGATGACAAGTACTTCTCCAAGGAAGTACAGAAGAAAAAGAAGAAGAGTGAGGGAGAGTTTTTTGAAGCCGAAAAAGAGGCAAGGTTTTTTTTTATTGCAAGAATTAAAAGCTTAAGCTGTACCAATTGGGTTTTTATAACATAATGTGCTGATTGTGTTTTTTTATTACTTTTCATAAAAAAATCTTGTAGGATAAGAAGAAACTTCCGGAAGAAAAGAAAGAAAACCAGAAAGCTGTTGACGCCGCTTTAATAAAGTCCATTGAGGGAGTCCCAGACTTGAAGGCCTACCTCGCTGCAAGGTTTTCTCTCAAGTCTGGCATGAAACCTCATGAGCTAGTCTTCTAGAGGGTATTTTGCATTTTGTTATGTTAAAGTGCTTTACTTTTGTATTCTCTTGGTTTAGATTATCTGTGGTTTTATTATCGAATGATATAGGTCTAAAACCTAAATTGTGGGATAGTACTTCTGTTATGCAAGAACCTTTAAAAGTTTCCTTAATTGGTTGTGTTCTGTGCTCATCTGGTTATGATGTTTGGACAGTGCGTGGTAATAATAAGGAATTATAATTATTAAAGTAAAAGTTGCAGCTTGTAATTTTTATAAAGCAATGGTCCCCTGAGTTCTCCCTGGAGCTTAATTATTGTAGTAACGGTGTATTAAAGTTTTGATCAATTCAGCAATGGTGAAATGGATGAAATATGTAAACAATGGTGTCAAACATGCACTGCTGCTTCCTATTTTAATTTAGTTTCTGGTTAAATAGATTTGTTTTTAAATTTCAGAATTGAAACATTATTCTCATTCATAGCCTATCACAAATTAAATGGGTGTATGAGGTTGGGAGGAATCAAGTAGTTTTGAGTAAAACTGCATTTGAATCCTTTTTCTTGTGCTATGAATGGACTTGATGTGGAACCTGGCTTTTCCAATAAAGATCCTCTACATATTGCCTATTTTTATGTTCCATGAAGATGATGTCTGCTATAATAAGGCAAATGTCGAGATAAATTCCTGGTCGGTAGGGCATAAATTAATGCATGCCATATGAACTACATTTCAAGGTGATAATGATGTTTATATTGAAATCTCGATGAGGCAATTGATCAATACATATCAAATTTCTCCCAAGCCGGGGACAGAAATTGATGTGCGCATATTACCTCAAGATTCATGTTTATTTTCATGTATGATGAAAGTGAACTAATTTGACGAAAATGCTTTTGGGGACCCCAAGGGTGATGATGCAATATTTTGTATAATTTCTTTTAATCTTAATCAGATGCATTATATAATTCCTTTGTATTTTCTTTCTTGATTCATATGTCGGATATAATAAGTATATTTTATGTGGTAAGCAACCTACTACAATGGTCCATAACATTGAAAATTACATATCAAAGAAGCCATAATATATGTGTGTGTGAAAATATTTTTGATGTTCATATCATGTTTTTTTTTTGTTGCTGTTGCATTTGAGTAGGTGTTTTTTATTTTATTTTATCCAAATCTCAAATCATTTTCCACTATTTATTTGCAAATATTTCATAAGTCTTGATAAGTATTATGGTTTAGTTTATTGACCAAAATCGAATAGAACATAATCATAGAAGATCACCACTGTAGTTTATCTTAAGATTTTTTTATTGATATTTGAAGAAAAAGTGAAGTATTATTTTAATTAGGAATAAACAGAAGGGTGTTGATTTGTACTCATAAAATCTCAAAATCTCATATATAATTTATGTATTTTTAATTAACAATTTAGTTTTACGTCCATTAAATTATATAATTTTTCATTCCTTAAAGTTTTAATATAAATTTTTAAGTTCGTATACTCTATCATAAAATTTTATATTCGTTCTTAATTTCAACTGAAGTATTTTTTTAAATTCTTTAATTGAATTGATATAAAATAATAACTAAATAATTTTATTTTATTTTATTTTTGAAAGAAGAAGTTTAAAAGAGGTATGACTTTTATCACATTGGAAACTGAAATGAAGGCAAGCCAGAGACTTTACAGGATGCTAGTATATACACACTTTGAAACACCTATCTTGCACACAAATACTTTATTGTTTTTCCTATGGTGGTGCTTATAAGGGATTAAAACGTACTCTAGGGTATCACACAAGTGGAAGAGGCATTTCCGTAGCGAACCTTGGCCCTGGGCTTAGATCAACTTTCTCACCTTCCCAGTCAAAGCATTGAACCAAAGCAGCCACTGCTGCATGCATCACCAGCATGGCAAGGGAAGCTCCGGGGCACCCTCTTCGACCACTCCCGAACGGAAGGAACCTAAAGTTTTGGCCCTTGAACACCATTTGATGCTCTCCAATCTTCTCATCGGAGCTTCCTAGAAACCTTTCAGGGTCGAATTCATCGGGGTTTGCCCATGAATCAGGGTCCCTCATGACACCGTACACATTCACTAGTGTTAAAAGTCAAATAATTTAGGCACCAAATTAGGCACCAAATGGTGCTTTGTCAAAGTCAAAAATTAGGCACCTAATTTTTGTTGAAATTGGGTAATGGGATAATTAATTTTAGTCATTATAATTTAGGGTATTTATAAGATTAGTCCTTAAGTTTCAACTATAAATACCCTAGCTCATTTAGCTTCAAAATCATCCCAAAGCATTCTAGCTTTCTTCCAATACTAGAGAGATTTTAGAGAGTTTCTTGAGAGTTGTTTTCTCCTTTTTATCTAGAGAGAATTATAATTGTTTTCTCCTTGGTAGATCGAGAGAGGTTGTAATTCCTATTTTCTCATCGTGAAATTCTTCTACCGTTGCCCGTGGTTTTTATCCTAAATTTTTAGGGGTTTTCCACGTAAATTTTGTGTCTCTTTTATCTTCATTTTTATTTTCTCAAATTATCAGTTGCGATTTTGCTCTATCCAATAGTCGTCTTCCGCAACAACTAGTACTCTGGTCTTGGCCTTCACCAAGTATCCATTTACATTGCAATCTTCACCACATTCCCTAATGATCAACGGAGCTGAAGGATGAAGCCTTAGAATTTCTCTTATCACAACTCGGTGGTATGGAAGGTTTGGGATATCGGATTCTTTGACTAGCCTGTTCGACCCTGCGACCGAATCAATTTCATCTCTAAGCTTCTTAAAGGCTGTTGGGTTGTTGATGAGCTCCCCCATTGCCCATTGCATCGCCGATGACGATGTATCAGTACCGGCCATGAAAATATCTTTTTATGCCACATTAAAGAACAAAAAAAACAAGATCAATTAGATAACAATTTGATAGCCCTAAGTAACATATAGCAACTAATGAAAGCTACCACTTACAAGCAAGAAAGACTTGATGTCCTTCATGGAAATCTTCACTTCAGCAGTTGGATCTCTGTAAACCTCCAACAAAATATCCAACAAATCCATCTTCTGATTCTCATAAAAACCTTCACTTACCTTCTCTTCATGCTCCTTAATGATCCTCTCCACCAACCGGTCATACTTCAACAAAGCCGCCTTGAGCTTTTTCTCATTTCCTGAGAAATCCAATACCTTCAAAGGACCCAAAACATCTCCAACAATTATCTTCCCCGAAAGCTTCAAACATGTATGAATAAGCTCCTTAATCTCAGCAGCATCGTTATCCCTCCCTGAACAACGTGTGCTTATCGCCATTCTACAGATGGTGTTGTTGGTCAGGGCCGTGAACTTGCTGCTCAGCTTACAGGTCTTTCCTTTTTTGCAGCAGTTCATCACGGATTCCACCAGCTTGACATTCTCCTGGTATCGGATATCGGCGAACTTGTCTAGCTGAGGGACGGCCACCAGCCTTGTCATGCAAAGTTTCTTCATGAAACGCTAGTAGTCACCGTATTGAGCCAAAACGAACCTCGAGCCTCTACCGAGGAACCAAATTCGGGCCTGGAACAAAAATTGAGCTCTTGGGTTTTGAATATTTCTTATGCAACATCGGAGTTGGATACAAGGCAAGCTGATGCACGGAGGCGGATCCCCATGAGAGGGCCATAGCGTCGAGCCAGGTCTTGGAAAGATTTGGGTAGGACAGAGGTGACCAGATGAAGGTGACTGATGAAAGGGAGAGCCGGCAGGCTTCAGAATTGTCTTGATGAAAGAATGGACAACCACAACAGTGATGAACCAAATCAAATACTGAAAGTAGTAGTGAGTGAGTACCAATGACATGGCCAATTGGAGTAGAAGGGATGCTTCTCTTTACTACATGATGGTAAATGCTTGGCTTTTAACATGCTTTTATAGACATACCTTCTTTCTCTCATTCTTTTTTCTTTCTTTTAAGTCTTAACATAAAATTAAGTGATCAAACTGTATACTTTTTGTCTACCGTGTTTAAATTATTTTTCGATCAATTTAAGTATCTAACGTTACACTTTTAGGTGTTTGGATTGTCACTGCCGTTAAATGATATCAAATTTATAAAATTTAAAATATATATATATATATATATATATATATTTAAACTCAAAATCTTTTAAAACTCTAATTTCAATCTCTTTGCCACCAACGTCGCCAACCAGCCAAAATTCCAACGACGTTTGACTAATCGAACACCTAACAACTGAAACTCCCTACTCTAACCTCTAATTGCAGCGAAAATCGACGAACACGGCAAAAACCAACAATCATAAAATCTTGCATTTACACAATCATTGGGTGTTCGACCAGTTACGAAAGTAAGGTGTTTTAACCTTTGGGTAATTGACCGGTTACATGTCGTTGGGTGATTGAATAGTTGAAGGCATTAGTGGCGACCAGCAGCGACAAAAGGATTGAAATTACGATTTTAAAAGATTTTGAATTTTTTTGTACTTTTATAAAATTTTGAGATTTTATTAAAAAATTATAATTTAAATAATTTAGATAACCTTTTTAATTTGACATAGGCAACATATATTATTTAACGGTGAAATTTAATGTCAGTAACAGTTCATGCACCTAAAAGTGTAATGTTTGAAATGTTAGACACCTAAATTGACTTAAAAATAGTTTAGGCATCTAAATGAGTAAAATGATATAGTTTGGGCACAAATTTTTGAGTTAACTGTATCACATGTCCTCAAAGTATGAACTTTATTTTAAATTGGTCTCCAAACTTTTAAATGTTCCAATTTCATCTCTAAACAATTCATTTTAAATTAGTCCTTAAAGTTTTGAACATTTCAATTTTATCCCTAAACTATGACTTGCATTTGAATTGATCCCCAAACTTTTTAAACATTCCAATTTCATCTCAAACTATACGTATATATTAATCACATCCCTTGTTAATAAAATCATTAGGCCAAGTTATATTATTATATGTTTCAAAAAAAATTTAGGTTAAACTATGGTTAAAACTAATCACATATTTGGATGAATTTGGGGATGAAACTGGAATATTCAAAAGTTTAAGGACCAAATTTAAAAAGAGGCCATAGTTTGGGAAAGAAATTAGAATGTTCAAAAGTTTAAGGACTAATTTAAAATGAGAGTTATAGTTTATGGACAA